CATTTCCAATCCTGTCTCCCTCTCCTGGCTCTCTCTCCTGGCTGGCTCTCTCTCCTGGCTGGCTCTCTCTCCAGGCTGGCTCTCCTCGCTCTCTCTTGGTGTTTCTCCTCACATATCTCCTGGTTGTCTCTCCTCACTCTCTCTCCTGGATGTCTCTCCTTTCTCTCTATCCTGGATGTCTCTCTCTCTCTCTCTCTCTCTCTCCTGGCTGGCTCTCATTGTTCTCTCTCTCTCTCGATGTTTCTTCTCACTCTCTCTCCTGGCTGCCTAGCAGTTATGGGATTAGTCAGCTTGTTCAATAAACACACAAGGGCTGGTGACATGACACTTGCCAGAAAATTAGAAAAGAAGAACACTCTCAGGGCCCGTTCACTGCTGGAACGCACTGGAGCACAGACTGTAAGGCTCCCTGCGTTCTTGGGCGGGAGTGGGAGTTACAGTATGCAATCCAGTGCATTCCAGCAGCTAACCGTGCTGGAACTCACTGGAAGTGGTGTGAACAAGCCCTCAGACTGGAAAGGATCCTGTCTAGTAAATGATAATATGGAAAAGATGATATCATAACTGCTGTGTAATAATACAAGATGCTGACAGCCCACAGTGTCCTCCCATAAAACGCAATACCTCCCTACTAGTAATAAACAATGACCGTTTTAGCTACTCTTATAAACAGCCCACTGCCTTTGGTATGTAGGGTGGGTATAGCTGCATGGAGGCAGGGCTGTATATCACATTACCTTGGTGGTGTACTCCATGTATGCTGTGCTGGGTGAGGTGTACCATGGACCAGATGCAGCCTGCTCAGCCTCTCCTCTGCTTCCTTCTGCTCTATCCGGGAGACACTTCCTGGTGCTATCAGCCGGGCTTCACATGATCTCGGCGCCACCTTCTGGTCACGTGGGGAACTGCAGAACACATTCAGCTGCACTAGAACTGCTGGAGGGAGCTCAGGACATTGAGCCGACTTGCTTTGCGATCGACCTAATGGGCACCCCGTTCTAGATTCTCCTCTTACATTCTCAATGCAGGTCTCAACCCTAAACTCACAGCAATATAAACCACTGATATGCATTATGTGATCCATGCTTCTAATGTTTATGAATTGTAGTGATATTGCAGGTCTTTAATCATGCACTGCCTTTAAAGGATTTTTTTTATGTCTGCAGATAAACTCTACTAGCCAAGACAGTATACACAGACCAACTGCCTTGACAGGTACTTTTTCAATTTGATTTAAATATACATCAACATTTTGAAATTTTATAAGATGCATCTTTCAGTAAAAAAAAGGACAACTTAGCCATTAGAATAGCAGCTAAAGGATTATTAGCAGCCTCTTTGTCAACTCTAGTGAAATATGTGGTCTAATCACTCTTCCCCACCCTGTCCAGTGAACCATTTCACCCTGGGTTAGGATATCAAGTCAGAGAATGGATGTTGCAATTAGCTATGATGGAACGCTGAGCTTGTATCACAATTTTCCTTCAACAGATAAGTGTCTGTAGAGTAAAATAAGTATTAATGTAATATTCCTTATTTCTATACTGCTGGCACACATGAGGTGCTTAACCTGACTATGTGCTTTGCATCAGTCTCTGCTGTTGGGGACTCTAGTAAAAACCGCTAATTATAGTAGTTAGAAACTGTCAAAAAAAGGATTTCCCTACACTTCATCTTGTGTGTTCCCAGAAGATTAAGTGAGGGTATCTCTCCCCATTAAACACACAGTCACTTCTTGAACTACATATTTACAGCAAATAGCTCATAATGTTTTTTTGAATTTGGAAAAATAAGACATCTAGGCCTTACAAATAGGATAAACTACCAATAATGATCCCACATTGATGCCACAATATTAATACTGGCATATTTTCATTTGAAAACAGAAAACATGCAGCACTGCGTTTTGTATTTTCACCAGAATTATTTCATGCTGTACATGGTATTTTCATAGAAAGCCTTTGTGAAATTGTTGCAGGTCATACTCAAATACCAGACATGTCAAGTCAGCCGCAACCCTTCACAGAGAAAGAAGGCATTGAGGAATTACAGCAAGTCCCAAAGCAAACATGGATGGATTTTTCTGACTTTTGCAAATGTTTTCAGTAAGTATTATCATTATTATTATTATTTCTATGCTGTCCACCATCTTCACAAATCTGTATATGCAAATCTGATAAAAGCATGGCTACCACTTGTTTTTTCACCCACAATTAAACACGCAGTATGTTTTTAAACTCTCCGTGAAATGGATTGTGCTGAATGCATAAAAGTAGCATTAAAGGAATTTAATGGCAAATGTATTTTTTTCTCATTTGCCTTTCTTTATAATTAAAACCTGTAAAATAGAAATATGTTTCAACCTGTTACCAAACTAAAACAAATAGGCTAAATTAAACTGCAATGGTGTAACAAAATTAGCACATATCCAGCCATTGCATTTCAGAAAAAAACATAAACATATTCCTATAGGAAAGGGGGGGGGGGGCCTTTTGTCT